TAAAAAATCCTAACCATCATCTAAGCCTGCAGTGAGTCATCATCTTTTTGCAATAGTGACATCGAAGACCACTGATTATGAATGACCATAACAAATACAATAATAATGAAAAAGTTTGAAATATTGCATGAATTACCAAAATGTGTCAGAGACACAAAGTGAGCAAATGCTGTTGGAAAAATGGCACCAATAGACTTGCTCGAAGCATTGCTGCCACAAACCTTCAATTTCTTAAAAAACGCAATAAAGCAAAGTGCAATAAAATGAGGTATGCCCGAATATAAATGAGTGACTGTAGCTGTGTTCCAATAAAACTTTATTTACAAAAACAATTGGTAGAGGGACTTCCCTGGTGGTCCAGCAGGTAAGACTCCATGCTCCCAATACAGGGGGCCTGGGTTCGATCCCTGGTCAGCGAACTAGATCCTGCATGCACACCGCAACTAAGAGCCCATATGCCACAACTAAGAAGTCTGCATGCTGCAACTAAAAGACCCGCATGTTGTAACAAAGATCCCACGTGCCGCAGCTAAGACCCGGCACAGCCAAAATAAATCAATCAATAAATATTTTTTTTTAAAAAGTGGAAGGGTGGACTTGGTCTGTGGGCCATAGTTTGCTGACTCCTCTTTGCTATCACCTTGTGTTGTCACAGGCATCTGTACGTTTATTAAGAATTTGGCACCGGACTCACAGACTTCATCACCAGCCCGGCAGTTGGTAAGCATTCCATAATGTGGTTGCAGTTATTATTTTTAAAAATTATCATATGGACACTCTAATTAGCTCTGTGGATGACCACCTAGCAATTTAGGCTCTCAGTTTCTTCATTTGCTTAACTCTCATACCCTGGATTTTGTCACCACTCCAGAGCCCTCCATCTCTCAAATCAAATCACTAATAGACACTAATCACTCTCACTCCCTTTATGCTTGCTCTCCAACCTCACTGAGATTCCAGTCCACTTTTATCTCCCTTGTCTCCTAATCTGTGAGCTCCTACTCATCTTTACTTCCTTCTACCAACCTTGATCTCATGGTCCGTTAATGAAGCCACCCTCTCACCTACACTCTCAACTCCTGTCTTCCCTTTTCCCTCAACGGTACCACCCCAGCAAAATCTCATCCCATCCCATCCAGCTGCCTTCTCTCTACCTAGATGGCCCAGGACTGCTGAAAATGGCTCACAGATCAATGCCCTTACAAGTGTAGTTGTTGGGACTTCAGCACCACCCAGCGATACTCTCCTCAGTTCTCCCACAAATAATTCAAACTTCCAAGGCTTAAATTGTCCTTAAGCTCTCTCAGACTATCAAACATTCTCTCACTTTCAAATGACCAATTTGAAAATTCTCCGGCTCTTCAGAGAAAAACTCTTTGCTGTACCTACACACTTAACTTATCCACTATTCTTAATTTGTTTCCTCTAGTCCCAAAAAGAGCGGGTTCTACTTCAATCTACCAGAAATGCTCTGGATCCATCTCTGCCCCTTCTGCTTCACCAATATTACCAAAGCTAAACCCTGAACCAATCCAGCCATAAGCCTTCTTTCACTGCCTGTTAACCATGGATATGGTTCTCATCCTGAGCTTCCCCATCTTCAAATTGGTGATATCCTTTCAAGATTGTTGAGTGCTGTGAGCGTAACAGGACTAGAAGTGCCTGACATAGGGTAATCATTCCATAAATGGTCGCAATGTTATTATGTTAAATCAATAGTTTAAAGGTGAAAGGCAGATGACAAAAAAATGGGATACAGAATTGGGGAGCTGCAGCGAGGAAAGGGGAGAACACCTGGAAAGAGAAAAGGAGACAATTTCCCTTGTCATAAAATGTCCCAATCCTTCTGTGAATATATTCAGTTGCTTTGTGAATTATGGTAATTAAATGTATGACTACTCTTTGCTATTCTCACCAGTCTGGAGCCTGAAACTTCTCCTGCAGTATAACATTCTCCGAGGGGAAGGTTTGCTCTGGGTTCTAAATCTTTGTCAGCAGAGAAAACTATCAAATCTTCCTTCTATTAGTCTAGAATTACAGTCAGAAGGAATCATTAAGAAGAAATTATGGCAATGTTTAGCCATTAAGAGTCTTAAACAAAAGTATTCAAGTAGTGATTCCACGACTGGGGCAGGAGTAATTCAAGGTGAAAACCTGGGACATCTTGTGCCAGAAAGCACAGAAATGCTCAAAAACTGATTGGGGGACGGGTTTGCTAGGAGGATGTCCAAGACACACAGGAGGTGGCTTGGCAGGGGTTCCCAGAGCCCAAATTTGGGACAATTTGAGCATCAAAAAGAATAATGACGGTAATGGAGTCTAACACAGTTCATCTTAAAAAAAAAAAAAAAAACTAGAAAATCATCACTTTGCACCATTCCGAAGGCAGAGCTCATCTCCGTCATGTGAAAAACACTGGGTGAAGAGTTAATGGGTGACAGGATATCTGCGTAGTCTTGAAGTATTACTCCACAGATTACTTAATTTTTAATTACAAAAATTACAAAGGGAAATTATAAAGGAAAAAAATGCACCTTTACAGTGGAGACATCTGGCAGTCACCCTCTTAATCAAGTGATGAAACTTAGCATCAGCAACAGAGAGCAACCTGATATTATGTGACTGCTGTGATGCAGTAAGAAGCACACAGCATTGCCTGTGTAACATAACCCAAAAGCTTTTACACTGAATTAATGAAGAGAAAGCCATCAGACAATTAGTCCACAGTCTTGCTACTCAAAAGTGGTTCAAAGACCAGAATCCCATCACCTGGGAGCTTGTTCGAAATACAGAATCTCAGACCCCACTGTGGACAAGTGAGTCATAATTTGCATTTTAAACAGATCCTCAAGTGACTCTGAGGTACAAAGTTTGAGAAGCCCTGAACAAGACAAACCACCCAGACTTTTCAAAAAAAATCAATGCCATAAAAACAAAAAAAGGCGGGGTTGCAGGGGGAGGCACTGCTCTGGATTTAGAGAGATATAACAACCAAAAGCAATGAGTGAATCTTGATTCAGTCCTGGGTCAGAAGAAAAAAGTTATAAAATACATTTTGGGGGAACAACTGGGAAATTTTGAATATGCAGTTTTTATTAAATGACACTGAATTAATGTGAAGGGTCTTAAATGTGATAATAGCATTTAATTACATAGAATGTTCTTATTCTTAGATACAGGGAGTTCCCTGGTGGTCCAGTGGTTAGGACTCCAGGCTTTCACTGCTGTGGCCCGGGTTCAATCCCTGGTCGGGGAACTGAGATCTCACAAGGTGAGCGGCACCGCCAAAAACAAACAAAAAAAGAAGATACATGCTGAGATATTTAAGGTAACATGTCTACCAACTCACTTTTAAATGGTTCATAAAAACACATATAGAGGACTTCCCTGGTGGCGCAGTGGTTCAGAGTCCGCCCGCCGATGCAGGGGACACGGGTTCGTGCCCCGGCCTAGGAAGATCCTACATGCCACGGAGCGGCTGGGCCCCTGAGCCAAGGCTGCTGAGCCTGCGCGTCCGGAGCCTGTGCTCCACAATGGGAGAGGCCACAACAGTGAGAGGCCCGCGTACCGCAAAAAAAAAAAACACAAATAGAGACAGAAAGCATATGTGGAATAATAACTGGTTACTCTGACAAAGAGTATGTAGGTGTCCATTGTGCTATTTTTTAACTTTTTCTTTAGGTTGAAAATTTTATTAAATAAAAGAATGTTCAATTAGCCCACAAAAGAAATGTAAAGTCTTTGGTAGCAAACAGCATGATTTACACAACCCTGAATCTATCTTAACGCCTGCTTCCAAAGATAAACATTAAGTGTTCAGCAGATATTGGATGAGAGAAAGGAAATTTGTTGAAATCATTTTAGCTGGCAGAAATTCCTAAGGCATTAAGAGCTGCTACAGCCAGTCAGCTGTCAAGTACATATAGAACTACGAATTGAATTTTCATTCAATGAGAGGCAGCAGAGTATAAAGGCAAAAGTTTTGGAGTCAGTCTGACCTTGATTTTATTAGTGGAGCGTCCTAGGATATATTTAACCTCCCGAAGTCTCAATCACTCTATCCGTAATACAGAAATAAAATAGTATCTTATAGGGTAGTGTAAGGGTTAAATAAGATATAAGATAATGAATATAAAGCTCTTAGGATCATTTAATAAATGTTAACTAAAATTTTATCAATAAAGTCAGCTAAAAGGTATTCCATAAAATGAAGATAATGTTTTCATGGGCCAGATTCTGACTTTATTCTGAGGATTAAAAGTCTTCCTAGTAGGGGCATTTTCTGATAATTTTAAGTCAACGTGAGAAGGCAGAACAATTTTCACTTCTCGTTTTTATTTGGTATCTTGAAGAAAAAGCACTCAGTGAGAGGATAGGCAGCCTTTCCCCAAGGATAACCTTTCCCCAAGGTAAAAGCATTTTACTTCAATTTAATCTTAGTAAACCCGCGTAAAGTACTGAAGATTAGCAAAATAAAGCTATTAAGAATGACTTCGAGAATCAAATTCGATAAAAAGAAGACTTGGAAATAATTCTGTCAAGTTACCTTAAACTCTCTTGACTAGAAAACTTGTGTGAAACCATAATGTTTTCATGGGAGTTTATTGAACAGTTTTCTGGAAGCACCTAGACAAAGAATAAGCATCTATCTTTTTGGCTTAAGTGCACTTGTGCGCAGATGAAATAGGATTGACTTCAATAGATGGATGACAGTCTAACCCAATTACTCTATGAAAGTCAAAAGCAATCTCTCCTAAAGGTTGGCAACTACGGCCAGTGTGCCAAATCCAGCCCACAACTTATTTTCATGAATAGTTTTACTGTATAATGTATTTTCTGTGGCTGTTTTCACTACAACAGCAGAGTAGAAAAGCTGCAACAGAGACGTTATGTCCCACAAAGTCTAAAATACTTATTATCTGGCCTTTTACAGAAAAAAATTGTTGACCCCTGCTCAAGACAAGCAACCCAGGAATCAACAAGACCTGTTCCAGACTCACCTGAGGTGTCGTCTTTTTGTACTGGTCACCTCCATCTATCACATCCCTCATTATTTTTTCCTTGAGAAAGTCATACTCTTCTGAACTCAGGTGAATAGACTCTACAGTTTTTCCACAGCCCAAACACTGACCACTGTAATTACAATTAAATGTGTTAAATAATGTCCTGGAAAAGAACTTTTTCTACAATGAATAATTCTAGGACATGAGGAAATTGGAAGGTAGTTTAAAAAAAGAACATTATAACCTTTGCGATCATCATACACATCTCACTTTTTGTAATCCAGATAATGTAACAAAATAGTGTGCCAGAAAACCCCAAAGAGTAGATGGCTGGCACCCAGACAAAGTTTTTAAAGTCATTCCTAAAACACAACTGGGTCCCAAATCTCTAGGGAAAAACATTTCTGAGGCATCACACCAGGCTCACATCACCTACTGAAAGAAACATTTCGAGCACTACAAATTCTCCAAATGCAAAACTGTGACTTTTTTCTTGGCTATCCTAACTAACTTAATTATCCTGTTTCTAAGGTATGCTTAAATTTTTTAAAAATAAGTAACAACAACCTACTACACCTGAATCGAACAAATTAAAAATAAAACGTTGGCCTTTACCTTTGCTGGACTGTGGTGAACTGTCCTTTCCATTGTTCTCCAGGAACACTACAAAAAAGATTGCAAAACCAAATCACCTACTGAACAGAAAGATATTCATTGTATTTAGAAAATCCGTAGGAAAGAGCTCTGAGAAGTTCAGGATACTTCCCTAGAATGGTTCAGTTAGAAGAGTGGTTGCTTACACTGTGATGGGGCTAAGTAACTTATGGTACTCTACTCTGGATCTCCTTCCCTTTGCTTCTCTCATCATCTGACCCTCATCTTTAACTCGAAATCTGTCTTCACAGGACCTGCCCAGAAAGCAGCCCAGACCTCTAAATCAAAACTCAACTCTAGGGACTTCCCTGGCGGTCCAGAGGTTAAGACTCTGCCCTCCCAATGCAGGGGGCACGGGTCGTGATCCCGCACGATGCACTGCCCAGACACACAAAAAAATTTTACTCTTTCTCCATAAAGCTGCCAGAGATTGTTCCTGGCCCAGAGTAATTTCTTCTCTTACACTATCATTTTATACACCACTCTGAGATAACTGTCTACTATTGTATTCCCAATTAGGTCGTGAATGCCATTATAATAGATCTTACATCACAGAACATGCACAGTGCTAAGCCTAAAATTGGAGGCATTCAAAACTACTTATTGGTTTATTTGCTCAATCAACTTATCCTTTCTTCTTTCCTTTTACAGATAATACCATCCATTCCTATTGATTCTACTGCCTTCCCTCCTTTCCCAGTTCTTAATTCAAGATCTCATCATCCCTCATTCAAACCTACAATTGCCTCCAAAGAGATCTCCCTGTTTCAAATCTTAATTCCTCTCTAATCTTATTTTCTCACTGTTTTGGCAGTTACTTTTTAAAAAGTACTCCAAGACCAGCACTCTTGATAACATTAAAATCCAAAATCCTTCCCATTCCAAGATTTTCACAACTTAGCTCCTCTGTGGATATTCAATAAATGTGTTAAGAAAGATAATTAAGCATGATTGCTACTTCAAAGCTCTGTAAAGATAATATATATAGAAAAGCAAGAGAAAAATAGAGACAAAACGAATGAACCTGTAGGAAAGAGCCTGAAGCCAATTAGTGGTAAAGAAATAAGGAAACAAAAGACTGAAGCAATAAATCAGCACACACACAGCCAGTAACATGAATAAAAGCACAGGGAAAGCAAAGGACAGCCTTGGAGAGAGCACTCAAATGATGGTGTGATCAAAAACAGGAAGGGTGAAGATTTTCTTCTTTAACACATATCAGGTTTGAGCAAGATTCCTCTCTCCCCTCTAACTATTCAAGCTGGTGAAATGCATAGATTAAACAGAATATATATGTGCACATCATACCAGTCACTAGGTTTCAGAAGAACTTCTGAAAATACTAATATGACCCAAAGACAGCTCCAGTTTTCTTGCTATGAACTCCAGCCACAAGTGCTATTTGAAAATATTCACATCATACTAGACACCTCAGAAAACAAAATAAATGATCCTTCTAAAAGGAAAAAATACATAAAAAGAAGTGTTCTATAATTTCCCTTTTATGTGATGAGTAGAGATTAGCACAACTTATTTACACTGCTACTTTTTAAAGAGAAAGAAAATTTTGTCTTAAAGGGGAAACAATCTTACTAAGAGACAGAAGATAGTATAATCTGACTAGAGTAATTCTCAGCAACTAATAAAAAAAAAGGAGGCTAGTTTTAGGTAACGGTATTAAAATAAAAATATACATACAAACAAAAATCAAAATTACCTTTCAAACCATGTTTTTATACTGTGTGCAAATGACTCCCCAGGATAGAGCTGATTATTTCTTAGATACAAAAGAATGTCTTGCAGTTTGTTTGAATACTGATCACCTTTCATGTCTTTTCCAAAATCAAAGAAGGCTTTTAATGTTTCCAACATAGGAACAGTATCATGACCTAACAACTCCTGATACAAATTCCAAGCTACATTTACATCTTGATGAAAGAGGGCTCCCTGGATACAGTCATTATAGTTCTTTTTTGAAGGAATCATGACTTTTTTGATGTCCTCTAACAGCAGCAAGGCCTCTCTCCATCTGTCTGTATGGATTAATCCCCGGATGAGAAGAGTGTACGCTCCAGATTCTAAACGCTTGTATCTGGCTTTCATGATTTCATAGACATCAATAATTTCTGATGTCTGCTTATGAAAAACGCAGAGACACAAATACTTGACCAGCAACTCATAGCCTACAATACCATTGTTTTTTGCAGCTACCCAGGCCAGCACAGATTTGGCCACATCGACAGAGCTATGGCATTTAACCATCTGTGAAATGATCCAATTTTCAAAGTTAGCCTTTTCTTTGAATTCTTCCTTCAGTTTATCCCACTCCTCTGAATTCAAAGGTTTTGTTGGGAGTTGAAAAATGTTCTTCACAGGTGGCAAGACGTGCTCTTTACTCGGAGGATTCATCTGTGATCTCTTCTTAGCTGCTCCAGCTGCGAACATGTGAGGAGAATCAGCAGAAACTTGCTTACTACTGCCCTCATCTTTTTTCCTGACATATCTGGCTTTGGCAATCAGCAGATTCATTGCTTTGGTATTTTGTGGAGACACCGTTTTAAGAGAAAACCACTTCTCTTGGTTCCTGATGCCATAACAGTCTTTGAGAAAGAGAGAGAGAGAAGAGCGACCTGGGCCTAGCCCAAGGTATGGGTTGCTCTTCCAAAGTTTAGGAAAGCTTCGAATACCAGTGAAATAGAAAGTCATTATGCAGTTAAATCAGCACCAGATTGTGAGATGTTCAAAAAGCCCCAACTTCTACAGCATAATTAAGGGATTTGGGGGTAGGGGGCGGAGATCGAAGCGCAACTTTCTAAAAGATGATTTTCAGCTTCTCACAGACAAATCAAATGCTCTTGGGGCTAGCAGCAACGAAGCTTGGTTGAGTTCTCTCCATTAAACAAGGATATGGGGACATCCAACCTTGGTCGCAAGTTCCAGGACGAGGGGACCGAGAAGGAATCTTCTGGTGCCTATTATATTCCAGTCCGTGAACCTGAGGAAAATGCACAAAGAAGACCGGCCAGTTGATTCACGTGGATCACAACTGTCCTTGAAAAGGGGCTGGATCCCACGGGAGCCAGGCTGCAGAAGGGGCGAAAAGTCGAAAGCCCCCTACCCCAGACCCACCGGCAGCCAGGACAGAGGCGAAAGCCCGAGTCTAGGGGCCCTGGCCGCCAAACTCGTCAAATAAGGAAATGGGGGTGGGGAAGGGGCAGAGAGCTGAGCCGAGCCAGCGATATAAGTAAGGAAGGGAGGTCCACGAGGGAACCACCTACTATGTACAGATCTATCACAAACGAGGTTCACTTGATTCAACCACTCACCGCAGCACTCACTTACCATACAACCATAAACGCGGCGGAAACTACCCCGCCCACAATGCACCGCGACGGCGCGGCCGCGGAGGCCTGGCTGAGCCAGAAGCCGGCCTTCCGCCCGGCCTGGCGGCAAGAAAAAGGCGACTCTGAATCTTCTACTGGCAGGAGGGGGCACAAGGCGCCTACTACATTCAAGGAGACTTTGGGGCTTCCAGATATGCGCCATGAACAATGAAAAGAAACTGTGAAATTAGAAAGCTCTTGCCTCGAACCGGAAGAGCCAAAGGACTTCCGGGATCACGTGGTGCCAAGTGCCAAAGGGCCAAGATGAAATAAAATTTGATGAAAGATGAAATAAGATGAAAATAAGATGAAAATAAATTTCAAGATGAAAATAAATTTACCTGTACTTGTGCTTTCTCCTCCCCTTCACTCCTTCTGCGTCTTTAAAATACGGCGTGGTGAAGATGGAAAGCTGCCTTAAGGAGGCTCCCTCTTCGTTTCTTTCACGTCTGCTCTCCCTGCTGTTAACGTGATCGCCGTATTCTCCGCGGTGGTTACGGTGATCGATTTGGCTGGGTTAGCCGACTTCCGCCCGCGTCCAAGATGGCGATTAAGCGGCCTTCATAACCTTTACGGGGCTGGGCAGTGTTGACGCCGGAGCTGGCAGGGGGTGGAGCGGTTAGTAAACAGCAAATGCGGGAACTGCTGGGCTGGCGTCAGCCATGGACTGGAAAGAAATTCTTCGCCGGCGGATAGCGACACCCAACACCGGTCCAAACAGTGAGTTTGGGAGGGGCCGCCCGCCGAGAGAGCCAGGCCCTAAACTCCGGGAGGTGGGGGGAGGATGGAAGGGGAGGAGCAGCACCTGGGAGCCGTGCCTTTCGCTTCGGTAAAACCTCTCCTGACAAAGGAGGCTGACTGGGATGTGGTTTAGGGATCCAGAGACTTGTTTTTTTTGTTTTGGGGTTTTTTTTTT